CTACGTTAGGACACAGTAAGAGGAGGGAGGTTCTGGAAAGAAGAGTCACATAAGGAAAAACACCAAATTCTGCATACTCTGCCTAAATTGCCAGATGACCTCTGAACTAAGCCTGTGTGAGGCAGATTAAAGCATCCCAGCTAAGGCTGAGGGAACTGAATTAGATTTCAGTTGCCACCACAACAAGGGAGACAAAGTATGGAGTATGAATACAGTCAGAATAACTAACTGCCTATTAAAACTCTATCAACCACATGGAGGTTCCTCAGAAAATTAAAAACAGACCTACCCTATGACCCAGCAATAGCACTGCTAGGAATTTACCCAAGGGATACAGGAGTGCTGATGCATAGGGGCACTTGTACCCCAATGTTTACAGCAGCACTCTCAACAATAGCCAAATTATGGAAAGAGCCTAAATGTCCATCAACTGATGAATGGATAAAGAAATTGTGGTTTATATACACAATGGAATACTACGTGGCAATGAGAGAAAATGAAATATGGCCTTTTGTAGCAACGTGGATGGAACTGGAGAGTGTGATGCTAAGTGAAATAAGCCATACAGAGAAAGACAGATACCATACGGTTTCACTCTTATGTGGATCCTGAGAAACTTAACAGAAACCCATGGGGGAGGGGAAGGAAAAAAAAAAAAAAGAGGTTAGAGTGGGAGAGAGCCAAAGCATAAGAGACTGTTAAAAACTGAGAACAAACTGAGGGTTGATGGGGGGTGGGAGGGAGGGGTGGGTGGGTGATGGGTATTGAGGAGGGCACCTTTTGGGATGAGCACTGGGTGTTGTATGGAAACCAATTTGACAATAAATTTCATATATTAAAAAAAAAAAACTATCAACCACAAACAACCTCTTCAGAGGAAAGTAACTAAATTCAGAATAGCTACATTAGTTAAATGTCTAGGATACAACTCAAAATTACTAGACATTTAAGAAACAGGAAAACATGACCTCTAATGAAGAAAAAAGAAAATTAATGATGCTTAATCCCAAAATCATTTATATATTGGAATTAGCAGACAAAATGTCAAAGCAGCTATTACAGCTTTGCTCAAAGACATAAAAGAAAATATGCTTTTAATAAGTAAACACATAGGAAATTTCATCAGAGAAATAGAAATGGTGAGACAACTGAATAGAAGTTTTAGAACTAAAAGATGCAATATCTGAAATAAAATCATTAGCAGTTTTAACAGATGATTTGGGATAACAGAAGGGAACATAGAACACAGATGAATAGAAATTATTTAATCTGAAGAACTGAGAGAAAAAAATGAAAACAAAACAAAAAAGGACAAAGCCTCGGTGAATTGTATATAATGTCGATGTGTATATATATTTGATTGGAGTTCAGGAGAAAAAGAGAATGGAGAACAAAAATATTTGGAGAAATAATGCCCCCCGATTTTCCAAACATGGTAAACTTACAGATGTTAAAAGCTCAGAAAACACCAAGCTGGTTAAGTGTGAAGAAAAATCAGGGCTAGGCACATCATAATCAAACTGCTAATAGCCAAAAATTAAGAGAAAAATTTGAAAGTAGCCAGAGAAAAATGACAAATTACATATAGGGAAACATAAAAGAAAAGTTCTGAATGATCTCTGCTCCATCAGAAACAAATGGAGGCCAAAAGATATGGAAAGATATCTTTAATAAACATTTATTGTGGGCAGCACATGGGGCTAAGATATTCTTTTTTATCCATTCTGGCAATTCATCTGTAACCTTTTGCAAATCCCTTAAATTATGTAATGCAGGAGGACAATAAAAAATAGGTGCAAAAATATGAATAAGGTCTGGTTATTTTTTTTAATGTTTATTTTTGAGAGAGATACTCACTTCTAAATGAATGGGGGAGGGACAGAGAGAAAGGGAGACAGGATCCGAAGCGGGTCCAGGCTCTGAGCTGTCGCACAGAGCCTGACACGGGACCCACAACCTGAGAGATCATGACCTGAGCCAACGTTGGATGCTTAACCAACTGAGCCACCCAGGCGCCCCAAGGTCTGATTATTAGATAAGAGCATTGTATCAGCATTAATTTCTTGATTTTGATAATTGTATTGCTATCTCAGAGACTACCCATGTTCTTAGGACACGTACACTGACATGTAGGGTTAAAAGGGCATCTTGTTCGCAATGTATTTTCAAATGGTTCTGAACAAAATATGCATAAACCAATGAAGCAAATATGGCAAATGCTGATAATTACAGAATCTGGTTGGGAGGAGACATGGGAATTTTTTTGTACTTCTAACTCTGAAAACCAGACATTATAATGCAAAAAGAAATGAGGTCAGAAATTAAATGTTCTCCAAATTCTAGTTGAGTGTGAATGATAAGCTTGTAGGAAGGAAATAAAATCCATTATTCTTGCTTTTTTTTTTTTTTTTTAAAGTTAGGGAAAACACACACATCATCAAAAATTTCCACGAGGAAAATGAGGTCCAACTGACTTTCTCAAGGTCACTTTATGATGTAAAAGTCCAGTTTCAGCAACATAATGGATGAAACTGAAGATGAACTCAGATTTTATTTCAATGCTCAAGGGTGAAAGATAACACATTAACTATATCCAGGTAAGAAAGGTAGCAAGACCAATCACCCAAAGACCCAAAAGGATGACTAATCCATATGGAGAACTGCACTATTGCTACCATTCAGAGACCTGTGACCATGTCATACAAGACTAACACTGTCAAAACAGATATTTAGAAGGTTATATTATTAACAAGTACTACATTTTCAAGTAAATTCTAAGTAATTTTCACGTGAACTCTTTGGAGACAGAATCTAGCTTTTTACTTATCTTTTACCAGTAATATTTTCATTGTTTTCACCTGTAAATGTTGGTTAATGGCACAAACATAACATTGACAGGCTAGCCACCTGTTCTAATTGTTTTCCATGTATTTCTCTGGAACTTTTAATGCACTATTACTAAACGGAGTCGGCATGGTAGGCTGGAAAAGGCTGACTGGAGTTCAAAGCTGAATCCCACCTTTACTAGCGGCCAGATCTTGGAATGGTTATTTGACTATTTCAACCTGCATTATCCTACCTGCTGTGAAACACAGACGTGAGAACTCACATGGATTCCAATGGGAATTTGACCAGATACCACCGATGAAAATTATTCTAAACAAATATGAAAAGTTGGCATCACCTGAATAGTTGCATTTTTTAAAAAATAATTGCGTGGACTTGACCTTGCGAGATGATTTGTTTTAGAAAGCCTTAGCACTATTACTGTAAGGCAATAATTTTAAAATCCCGTTTGCCTAAAATTATCTTTATAAATACAAACCGATTATTTCACAGATTTTCCTAGCCAACCTGACCCCAGACGGGGTGTCTGTCACTGAACTTTTCAAGCTGTGGTTTTCCTTGCCAGACTTTGGGTTTCCAAAGAAAAGGTTGTGAAGTGTAGGTCCGGGTAGGCTCCTGCCTCGGGCCCTGCCGTTAACATTTACGAAATCAGCCCGTACGGGGACGTTTTAAACACCGAGTACTTCGCAGCTTTTACAGCCAAACCGGCGAACCACCACCTGCGGCTTCCCTGCCTCCCTGCTAGGGTCAGGATTCGGCTCGAGGCTTCCCAGGGCCTTGACTCCGAGGGTCCCTTGCTGGAATCACCCGAGTGGGTCTCCTCGCACTCTCGAGCTGCGCAGGCGCCTGCCATAGCACAAAACCCTCGTCCTTTCGAATGAGGGCTCAGAGGCGCCGGGCGCCCGCCGCCCCGTCCAGGCCGGGGATAGCCAGCCGCTGGTCGCCGGCCGGCGCAGGCCTCTGCGGTCCCTGCAAGGCCCAGGCCGCGTCCTTCTCCCGCGCCGCCCTCAGGGCACTTCATGGCCTTCGGGCGCCGGGGCGGAGTGGGGAGTAAGGGGGTAGGGAGGAGCCAGGACCGCCAGGGAGGCGCCCGCTCCGGGACCCTTTGGAAATCCCAAGGGGTGGGGGCCCTCCTGCTCGGACAGCGCCAGCTTTCCAGCCTGACACGCATCTCCCCTGGTTTAGATTGACTCCGTGGGCCTTCCTTCTTCCTCTCTGGGGGGAAGGGCGGGACTTCCGGCATCATTTCTCAGTGGCTTCCGGTAAGAGCTGATGGACTGAAAACAAGGCGGCACAGGGGCTCTGCGGGCCACTAGGGGCAGAAACAGGGAACCCGGTGTGGGTTTCACTAAACCAGGTCCGAGATTCTGTTTTTTGGACGTGGTGTTCGGCGCTCGGTCCACGACGGAGTCGACCTGGGAACCGCCGGAAGTCGCTCAAAGGAGAGACAGGAAGTCCCTCCTCTTCCTCCCAGAGGGAAGACGGTGAGCCGGAGGAGTCAGTCAGAGGGGCGAGCAGGAGCGATCCCGTCGGCAAACAGGTAAGTTATTCTCTGGCCGGGGCGGGGGGTTTGGAGGCGGGGACCGTCCAGCGTCAGCGCGGGGCCTGGGGGCGGTGGCTTGAGGGCCC